CTCAACTTGATGAATTGGGAGTGTGCAATACCAGGCAAGAAATCTGTGAGTAGTGATGCGCAATGCTGAACTTTGCTATACGTTTGATTTTCGTTATATTATTTAAACAGTAGTATATTCAATAAACTCAATTTTATTCAATTTTATAGACACCATGGGAAGGCGGATTGTACAAATTGCGTATGATCTTCAAAGATGACTATCCTTCCAGTCCACCAAAATGTAAATTTGAACCTCCTTTGTTTCATCCAAATGTCTATCCTTCAGGAACAGTGTGTTTATCACTGTTGGACGAGGAGAAAGATTGGAGGCCTGCTATTACAATTAAACAAATCCTTCTTGGCATACAAGATTTATTAAATGAACCTAATGTCAAAGATCCAGCTCAGGCAGAAGCGTATACAATATATTGGTAATATATTTGCTTTATATATTGGAAGTTGAAGTCATTACGGCTATTGTAAAGTACATTTTCTTTTTTGTCACAGTCAAAATCGTTTGGAGTATGAAAAACGTGTAAGGGCACAAGCCAGAGCAATGGCCCCACAGGAATAAAGTACTATAATAGGTCCCATTAAATTTAAATATTCCAACTACATAAAGAGGTTATCATATATCTATAGTATATTCTAATAATCATCTACATTTCTTATCTTTTTTATAAGTAATGCTAGTGTATAATGTAGTTAATTTACAATTATCTGCATTTTTTCTTGTGACAAAATTCCTACACATGTACTCATATATTCTATAAGCAGCACCAATTAAGACATAGGTTTATGATACTGTCCTACACTGAGATCTTGCGTCACTTTAAATTTTTTGTTACCACTTGTTTATAAAATATGAATGGAAGCATTTTTTTAGCTAAACAATTTAATTCATAAGACTTAGTGACAATTTTATTGATAAGTCTTAAAAGTGATGTACGAGACGAGCTGTGTAAAAGAATAGAGAGAAGAGCTGTATACGTAAGAAATATCTGTTCATTCTGCAGGTTATAAACTATCAGTATCTCTTTGAAAAAAAAAAAAAAATGTATTTAAAAATCTTGTAAGGATTGTACAAATCTTAAAAAATAAAATATTCCAATTAATAATTTGACTTTCTGAAAAATTCAATATAATCTTTCGTTTAAATAAGTATGATAAATTTCTGTGATAAATAAAGATAATTTCGTGGTGGGAGAAAATCGTGTTGTATTCAATACCCAAGATACTAAAGTGCAATCAACAACCAATAAATGCCCCATATATTTTGTTTCACTGTCGCTTCGATCGTCGCATTCGTGTCATTTCCTTGTACGCTGAATATTAATTTCTACTGTCGTAGTGTTCAGAAAATTTCCAAGTGTGAATAATTCGATCGATTAATTTCCTCCAAAAAGTAGTGTGTTTAAATAACGTTTACCTTTACTCTTTATTCATACAATTGAACCATGACTGCAATTAAAAAGTCTTTAGGAAAATTAAACGCTGGAATTATCACAACGTGTATCGTAGGTCTTGCTGGTTCTTATTATGCGTACTATGTGGAATTAGCAAAAGAAGAGGATGATTTATATGAGGCAATGTGCGATATTAGCGAACACGTTAGCTGTACCAAAGCATTTTCCTCCGAGTAAGTATAAATCGTTTGGTTTCAAAACATACATAATATAATTTTGTGATGTAAAGCTCGTGCAATTTTGTGCACGAAGAATATCTAGGAAACTTGTCCATAACGCGTTTTGTGTTCTGATTGATGCAATTGTTTTCTAAGATTATAAGTAAATGGGAAATATTTTATCGAGTACGTGTTATTTAACTTCAAATTTATTGTATTTTAGAAATTGATATTATGCACAACTGTTAATATATGTGCTTAAAATTGTTTTCCATTTATGATTATCTGTTAAACAGTGTTCTACATAGAGATTAACCTTAATGATCCTTGCGCATGCGTTCATATTGACTTTTGAACTCGTACGATACGTAATGCATATAATTTTAAGTAAGATAATTTAGCTCAATTTAAATGAATTAGTTGTCAATTTGATGAATTAATTATCTATTTTTAAACAGCTACATATGGTTTAGCAAGCAATTAACTTTATTACAGGTATGGAAAAGGCTTTGGAATAATTCCAGAAACATCTTTTTTACATGCACCAAATCCTGTATATGGATTAATATTTTACATTTTGGTCACAATATTGAGTATGTATTGTATTTATTTTATCTCAATAAATTTTCGTTTATTGTAGTAAAATTACTTTGGGGGAAGTAGGGAGAGGGGGAATGAAATATCGTGTTTTCCTTTTTATCAACATTTTAATAAATTTTTTAGGTATATCAAATAGATGGATGACATCAGCCATTGTCGTAACATTAGGAATTTGTGCGAACCTTGGCACGATTTACCTGGCATATATTTTGTACAAATTAAGCAATATCTGCGTAGTCTGTGTTAGTCTTTATGTGGTAAATGCTATTCTTTTAATACTTGCTGTTAAAAAGCATGAAAAACTGTGTCGAAAAAATGGCACAAATAAAAAGAAAAAATCAAAGTAAATATGAACATTTTCAAGATCTAAAACTACTAGAAATCTTCCAATTTTTGTTGGAGAGTTGCTAAGAGCTAGATTAATCATGATAATATATAATATATAATATTTACTTAGCATCTTGATTTATTAAGAATTTTTCACATTATTTCGAGAGAATCTATATGTTATTATCACTCGATATACACACACCTTCTGTCGAAATAAATGCAACTAATCTGAATAATTGTGATTTTATATCTTGAAACTGGGCGTATATATTTAATCACGTATTCCTAACACAATGAATCGCTATATCTATCTCATACCTCTCTACTAATCTGATATGTAATCTTGGATTGTAACTGAATATGCGAGCGGAAAAAGATTAAACAAGTCTCGCGTGAGTTGTGTTGTAATAAAAGCCTGTGTGAAACTATTGATTTATACAAAACAAGCCGGCCTCTCACGATCGATATGGACAATTATCACTTTGCACTATACAAAAGAGAAGAAAATCATAAACTACTTATACGTAATAACTAGTACCCGCTTAATGGATTCCACTTCAATCATATTTAAAGAAAAAAGGAAAAAAAAAACATTATAGTTTATTATAAAATCTATTGAAAAAGTGCCTAGTTGAACGACTTAATACTCGTGTCTGCTATCCCTCAACAAATCCCTGTTGCTGCGATTGATACTGGCCAAAATGCCTGGACTCTTCAACGGAGGTGTTTCGTTTAATCTGTTCAAGTGCAAGTTAGATGTACACGGTATCCTGGCAGGTGGGCCGTCGATGCCATTTCTCTCGGCTTCGACGTTGAAGCTCTTGCTACGTGACAACGAGGAGGATTTGTAACTTCGTTCCGGCTTGACCGGCGGTTGAACGTTGCCTTGCACCGCCGCCGCCACCTTCGACGACGTGACGGTGTTCTTGATGGAAATATTGATCATACTTCCGTACTGACGCGACTGGTTCGTCGATAACGGTACGTTGCCGTGCGACGTTCCCAATTTGATCGCGGTAGAAACCGGTTGCTGGCGTCTCGGCAACAGGGTCTGCGATCGTGCGTATTGTCCACATCCGGCGTGCAGGTTCCTCGGCAGAGTTTGCGTGCTCCTAAAATGTTCCTCCCGCTCGTGATCGTTGGTTAGCCGACTGGTTGACTTGCTAAACCTGCCGAGTGAACTGGACGAGACGCTGAAACCGCGTCGGTTCGACAATTGACTGCGGAGGAATCGTTCTTCGTGATGGCTGACGAGCCCATACGAAATACTACATAGCGGCATAGAGACATGCTCAAACTCCCTTTCATGCAGCCTTCACCCACCATCCGAAGCGAGCAACATTTCGTCGTGAAATGTGCACTTATATACATATATATATATATATATAAAATCTATTCTATATATATACACACACACACACACACACACATGTATAACTTAACAAGCAAC